TACCCATCTTGCCTACACTTCCGCTTTCCGCCAACTCCTTGTCCTCCATAACCTACTTGCTACACGTCCCTCACAAATCACTCTCCCACGCCTCACCACCTTCACACCCTGTCTTCCCTCCAATTACCCTTGATCTTCGCCCTAATCCCCTCCCCCTCACACCTTCTCCTATTAATTTTCTCGCTTCTTAACACTAATTTCGCTTATTCTAAAGACTCGCACTCTCACACGCTACCACTCACTCTCACGCCATCTAACCAAGTCCAGTCACTAGCAATGTATTATTTTGCTAATATAATTTTGATTTTATGTTTATTTTAAATGTTTAATTTAATGAGATGTTTAAATGTCGAAGATTTATGTTTATATTATAAAAAGCTCATGCCAAAGTAAGTTTAGTTTTCTCTACATAGTAGCATATTTACTTACGTTAACACTATTTTCCATGTTTATTGTATTTGGCCATTTAATATATGTACCTAATAGCGAAGCCAATGTTCTTATTACGTTTTGAAAGTAATAATGTGCTATACTGGCAGACATGCCAAATCTATCTCCGACTGCTAAAAACGACTCTGCTTTTGCTAATATCCACACAGTCAATGCGACTTGTTTTTCCAAAGGTACTATATAAAATTCTCTCTGATTCATATGATGTCCAATTATATTTACAAGGTGCTATAAATATAAATGAAATATGCATGTATATGGAATGAAATAAAATAAATAAAATAAAATAATTATTTAATTTTTTTACAATTCACCTCCATTGTTGTGCGCTTCATTCGAAAATGAGCACGAAAATCATCCAACGAATATTGTGGAACTGTTATTTCAAAATAATTATCATTACGAATATGTAATGTTCTATAAGGTAACAATTCATCTTCCACATCTAAATCTGCTACATAATTTTCTACTATTTGCACAATAACGTTATCATCATCACTTATATTTTGAAGAATAAGTGCAATATTTTGTCGATTCATTATTGTTAATATTTTATGAAAATTTAACCTTATCCTTTATTAACCTTCACCTCCACTTTATACCATGGACGACGCCATAATAGATGACGTATGTACGTGTGAGCTTATATCCAGTACGTGAAAGACCGCTTTATAAGCGCTTACGAATAGCCGCTATCTAACCGCTCAGTGAACGGTGGCGCTCCTG